TATTAGCCAGGACAGCATACCTCCAAATACTCCATGGTGTTGATGGATGCTGATGAGACGGGCGCGTTCACTGAAAATCTGGTGCACACGCACTAACGAGCATGAACTCGGTCACGGTGGGAGGGTATTAGTTGATAGTGGGGGAGGGCGATAAGAGTTGTAAACATTCAAAATTTTGCCTAAATCCACTCAATCTGCCAGACTTGCCGACTTCAGCTTTACGGTGCGAATGCGACACACGAAATTCAGATGTGGCTGGGTAATTTCACATTCACACGAGGTCCTCCCCGTGCGAATAGGGCTGCGCTTCAAAAAGTTCATAAAGAGATTGTGAAACTAATTCATATGAATTGAGCTGTTTAGTCCACATTTTCTAAAGAGACTACTTTATATGAGCAGATTTAATTTAATTTAAACATTGATCATAACATAAACAAGAAACTGCTGGCTGCAGAGAACAAACTTCATTAGTTATTGTGGAAGCTCAAACGTGCTGCGTGACATAAGAGAATGAACCTCATTGGTTCTTACGAGTCAAGCGAACATGATTGAGCTTCCATGTGTGTGAATAAAAGCCTAAAATTCTATCTGTCTTTTCAGAAAATTTGGACTAAACCGCTCAATTTACAATCTCTTTATGAACTTTTTGGTTGTTGTGTAGGCTGTCAATGGAGGTATACAGAAAGCTCTCAGATTTCATCTAAAAGTGAATGAACGAAAGTCTTACGGGTTTGGAACGAAATGAGGTGACGAGTGAATGATGACAGAATTATTGGCGAACTAATCCTTCAACAAAAACAATTGATTGTGATGCATAGTTGTCAGTAATACAAGAATGAAACAAAAGTTAGCTATGTAATAGAACTACCGGTAATAAACTAAATATGTTTTAAATACACAATAACTAGGTTTATGTTTATTATCGATAGATCCAACTGATTATGTAAACCAATCTTATGTTTTAACTAACTGAATCTTGTTTGTTCCACAGCCATATCTGAACCATGTTCATAATTTTTAATGGATTCTATTTAATTGTTTTCACAACTAACATTGATGTTGATTATAAGGAATTTGAATAAATAGGCCTACATGTAAATAAAAAACAACAACAACTTAAATTCAATTGCAGATTACTTAAATTCAAATATATGCAAATAATAGTAATAAACTATGCCATGATTCATTTTTTATTGTAGTTTCGAGGAGTAGATACTGTTGAAAAACTGAACCTAATTAAACTAAACCTGCTAGTCACAATATGTATATTTTACAACTAAAGTGATGGAATGAACTTCTGTTATGGCAATTATTTGCACAGCGATCATTGAGTAAATGTTCTTTTTAATCTTATTTGACGTAACTATTCCCATTTGGGCAAAACTGAACTTTTGCTTATTCAATAAGCACACTACCCCCGGTTTCACAGACAAGGCTTAAAGGGAAAGTTCACCCAAACATTAAAATTTTGTCAGTTGACAGTAGCCATTGACCATAGAAAGCAAACAAACAAAAAAATGTCAATGGCTACCCTCAACTGTCTGATTACCAACATTCTTCAAGATATCGTCTTTTGTGCTCAATAGAAGAAAGAAAGTCATACAGGTTTGGAACAACTTGAGGGTGAGTAAATTAAAGAATTTTCATTTTTGGGTGAACTACCCCCTTTAAGACTAGTCCCAGACTAAAATGCATGTTCTAGTTCTATCTTAAAATATGTCACTGCTATTGTTTTGTCTCAAGATGCACAGTGATGTTTTTTGTCTAAGGCACGTTTATTTAAGCTAATTAAGGCCTAATTAAACTAATCCTGGTTTAATCTAACCCTGTCTGTGAAACCAAGCCTAAATGAGATATTTAAGTAGTAAATGTTCATTATGCTGAATCCGGTGCCCATTTTTCAGTGAAAAACTCCTTAGAAGCGCACCTCTTGAAGCAAGAGTCAAGAGATAGACCTAGTACAGCTCCTTTAATGGTAAGTTCTGAGTGCGTCCACAGGAGGGCAGATCTGTACACCATCTCTATCCACAGGAGAGAAAGGAGCTTTCAGCTGTGCCACAAACTCAGGATGCATACCAATCCCATTGGACTTGTCATTCCAGCACATGGGGATGTATTAGGAAATGTTTTATTCACACATATGTGCCAATAGTTATCCGAACTCTCTGAAGGCCTGTGTCATTACAATTCCACGGCTGCAACTTTTGATCACTTCAGCGAGATCGCTTCACCAACATCCCCTGACATAAAGTGCGGGCCCTCATTCACCTGTCCATCACGCAAACACTATGTTAATTCCCGCATCATGTACCCCTGTCCCACGTCCCCTTCATTCAATTCATTGTACAAATCCCCTCTCTTTCCTGCCCTTTTATACCCACATAGTCTTCTTTTCCAACATTCTTCCTCCTATCACAGCCTTCCACTGGAGGCATAACAACCTCTCCCCTCCATCTCGCCCAGGGCTATACACCTTATGAGAAATGTTTTGATTATGTGTGCTCAGTGTAGGTGGCCCTCCGAAAAACTTTCACTGTCTGCATGGTAACCCCCCCTCCCTCCCCCATTCCACTTCCCCCTCTCCCCCTGCTGGGCGCATGATTGTGGGCTCAGGGATTATGCGAGCAGGAGGCTCGTAAAGGGCCTGCCAGGGTCTTTCTGTGCAGTGACGGATGGCTAGGAGCCCCCATTTACATAAGAAGGGAGAGAATAGAGGCCCCATTCACTCGGTCTGTCAGGGAGGACTCAGGGACAAACTGCACTCTCTCCAAGTTGCCCTCTTCCCCTCTCAGTCTCTCTTTTCTTCTTTATCTTTGCCATTCTCCCTTCTCCTCAAGCTTTTCCTCATCCGTCCTCCTTTCTTCGAGCCATTGTACTCAAGTCTCTTCATTTTTGGGCCACTTAATTTTACTTCATTTTTTACTCAATTGGGTTTCCTATTTCAAATCAAAATGTCATATTTGTCCCAATGAATTACATAGCATTTCATTTTTCATTGTTCACAGATTAAAACAACAACTCCAAAAAGGTATTACACTAATACACTCTAACTTAAAAGGATATTAATGCTAAATATTGTTTTAAAAAGCCCCTTCTGTCTTAAAGGTAAATTATATTCTAAATGGTATTTCAAAATAAAAATAAAATATATATGTGTAACACACACACATATAAAGCTATATATAATGTGTGTATGTGTGTTCATTTTATGACTTTATTGATTTGATTAGCCATTAAAATTTTGTTGATGCAAATTCACATAAATGCTAAAAAATATATGCCAAATTCACCGTCCTTTTAAACATGCACATTAAAGCTTCTCAGTGGTCATGAGTGAATATTCTCTGAAAAAGTTATTATCCTATTAAAGATATCATTAAAATACTTTTCTTTGGAAACAATATTTTGATCAGGATTCTCTTTTGTTTGTAATAAAATGACTGTAAACTTTCTTTGATATCTTGATGATCAATAAACCACATTCTTCATTTTTAATTTTTTAAGAAGTAATCATTTATAGAATGTGTTACTTACAACTAAGATATTTAATATAACTTTATATTTTACAGAACTAAAGTTACATTTTAGTATCCATAAATATACTCAGTTTTTGGTAATGTAGCGTAAGACTGACAGTGATTGAAAATAATTGTTTATTAGAAAGCTAAATATTATTTGACCATGCATTTGATTTTTGAATCTGCAATTCAAGGGGGAAAAAGCATGCACACACTAAAAGAAAAATCAAATAAGCGAAAACAGTCTAGATGCCGTATTTATTTAGTTCAGTCATAGAACTCATGTTGATTCTCCTTTACAGGTTCATTCAGGTATCCGTGTTTGAGCAGCTTAGAGCCCATGCAGCTGAATGGGTGGTTATCTTCTTTTGTGTGCGCTTTGGAAAAACAACTGTGTTGTAACTTGTTTTGGACATACATATTCAAACCCATGAAAACACTGGTTTTAAAAAGCAATACAATAGTCAAAGAGAGGCATGTGGAGCACATGTGTATGCAAACATGAGGTCTTTGAGCTATATGTGTTTGTAGGGGGTTACACTTAACATTTCTGAGAAATTCTCTGAGCTGTCTTGGTTCTGTCTCAACCAAATGGGACAAAGAAACAAAGGACGGCAGAACGAGTCAGGCACTTCCATAAAGAGGTTTACTATTTGTCCAAAAATGTTTTCTGGACATGGTTATAAGAATAAAGCCCCACAATTTGTGGTTTGATTGGCATTAAGGCGTAACTGTCAGTCACAAACAGAAGCTTCTCGAATGTTTCACAAAGCACCTGCAAACTCACAGGCACTCACACCTGTGTCTACAAAAAGAGCGAAAGAAACAACATAAAGCTTTGCACCCACACCTTTTCTCACGCAATTATAGAAGCAATACACACCTTTAGAAGTTTCTGACATTCGCATGTCATAAATGGTCATCAAAAGGGAGTAATGGCACATTGCTGTAATTATATATTGTGTGTACTGTAACAATTCACATTTCACACAAATTTACCCTGAAAACACAGCTCAATAAACACAAGATTTAAACAAACTGTTCGTTTTCACAGAAAATTTCACATGACCCCACCATGACAGGGTTAAGAAATGACAATAGAAGAGACAGAAATTGTAAAGGTGCAAAGTGAAACTAATTAAGTCATAGAAAGTGATTAAAAGAAATCAGGTCCAAAATTAGCTACACAATCTTTGTGTCTAATTTTTAAAGGCTTGTTTGTTTTGAAGTGTATAAAAAAATGTGGCATGACAATTTATACTGAAATATGTAATAATTAACTGTAATATATATTGCGAATTGAATTCTCTGATCAATAAAATGAGCCTCTAGTTGTCTCTGCGTGCCGCTTACCTCCTGCAACAAGTGATCTTCGACGTACAACACCACACCCCTACAATTGTTATGCAAATGAGCAAAGGGTTGCGTCGAGCGCTGATTGGACAGACGTGGAATGCAATTATACAATTGGTTCAGGGTGGACTGCATACTATTTCTGCTCAACAAGTGGCTTGTGGATAGCGTTCAACAGAGTTAGAGAGACAAACAGCAGAGATTGAGAAACTTTTCGAGACATTTTTACTTTATTTTTGTTTTTAAAAAATTGCTATAAATGTTTTGATTAATCGGTTTCTCATTGCTCCTTTTTTTGGAGTTTAATTTGGCGAGACAATCCCGGCTGTAAAGAGACTTCACCTGCGCCGGATTTGTTTGACCTGATTAGGTTCGCTTGGACACTTTTAATTGGCTGCTTTACGCATTGAGCGGTTGAAACTCAAAGTGAGCAGAGGCATGATGTATAGCATGATGGAGCATGAACTGAAGACCGCGGGTCAACCTCATCCCCACCAGAACAGTCCAGGGATGCCTCCTCCGGTCAGCGGGGTTGGAACTGCGCACCACGGATCAAAAACTTCTTGTCCACCCGGCGGGGACCCTATGGACAAAGTGAAGCGCCCTATGAATGCGTTTATGGTGTGGTCTCGCGGTCAGCGGAGGAAGATGGCACAGGAGAACCCCAAAATGCACAACTCTGAGATAAGCAAACGCCTCGGAGCGGAATGGAAACTTTTAACGGACGCGGAGAAGCGACCGTTCATCGATGAGGCCAAACGTTTGCGGGCTGTACACATGAAGGATTACCCTGATTACAAATACAAACCTCGGCGTAAGACCAAAGCTCTCATGAAGAAGGACAATCACGTCGGCAAATATCCTCTCGCACCCGGCAACCTGTTGGCTTCAGCCGTGGCACAAGGACAAAGTGGTAGCCCGAGAATGGACGGCTATGGCTGGGGTCACCCCGGTGGTTATATGGGCATGCAGGGCGAGGCACTCGGATACCCGCAGCAACTGCACCGCTACGACCTGTCAACTCTCCAATACCCGCCGGCACAGACGTACATGAACAGCGCCAGTCCTTACAGGTTTGTTTTATCAAGAGATTTTAGTGCAGCTAAGTTACAGTATTAGGGAAGCTTGACAAATTGGGGAACTAGAAAACTAACATTAGTTATGTGGGGCGCCCGCACACATATAAATATGTTAACTGATTCAGTTTTCGTCGTGTTTAACTGTGAAAAGTTGAAGAATCAAACATTTGTGAACAATTCATATTGGTCTCTTTTAAATTTGTTTTATAAAACCAAAATTGATTTTTAAAATATTAATTGTAGTAGGCTATATAAAGGTAATTTCTTTTAGTTCAGTTGTTTTTGAAGTTGGTAAATTAATAAGCTATATATAAATGCGTTTATTCAGCATTTGACGATTTTTTTTTTCATTTTTCATCATAACTGCATATTTATTCATAATATGCTTATAGATTTTCTTATCATTGCCCATATTTATTCAGCATTTGCCTATAGGTTTTCTCAGATTAACCACAACTAAGCTCACTTAACCTGTATAGACCTGTTATTTGCTTGTCAGCATTACTTGGAACAAATGCAGAGCTGTTTTATATGTGGAAAGATACAGATTCTCAAAGATGTTCATGTGTCTGATGCCCTGGTCTTCTTTTGTCGATCACATTTTAATGGCTTATGTTGTCCCTTTTTTTTTTGTCCACAGCCAAATGTCTTATAGTGGCAGCCCTCAGCAGCTCAGTCCAGTGATGTCTATGGTTAAACCAGAACCCCTATCCCATTCACCTACTGGAGTACCAAACCACCACCGTGGTGCTTTCCAAGGGGACCTGAGGGACATGATTAGCATGTACATTCCAGGTGGGGATACCAGCGATAGCTCAAACCAGAGGGCCTACCCTGGTGTCCAACAGCACTATCTAGGTGGAACTGTTCCCCTCACTCATATCTGAAGTTTGGGACTGTAGTGCCATACATAGACACTATGGATTACTGAACACTTCTGATTGTTTACTACCTCCTTGCTTTAAATGATCTGAAGTTGTCTGCTGAAACTGTCTAGCAAACTTGGCTTTTTCAGTCTCCCGTTTTCTTCCTGTATTTGCAGCCATCACACTATGACCGGTCACCTTTAACTTCCTAACTCATGGCATTATGGACAATTAAAGGGGTTAGTTCAACCAAAAAATTCTGTCATTTACTCGCCCTCATGTCGTTCCAAACCCATAAGACCAATAGTTTATCTTCAGAACTCGAATGACGATCTTTTTAATGAAAACTGAGAGCTTTGTCCGTCCATTGACAGTCTACGCAACTGATACTTTCAAACCCTAGAAAGGTAGTAAAGGCATAATTAAAATAATCCATGTGACTGTGACAGTGGTTTAACCTCAGTTTTATGAAGCGACGCGAGTGCTTTGTTTGAGCAAAAGAAAACATAATTTACCTCTTTATTTACAAAATATTAATCTCGTTTACGTAACAACGTCCACTTTCGTGTCAACACAACACATGCGTTGTGGTGCTTTCTTGAACACATGTTGGAGATTAATATTTTGCGTCACTTAAAATTGAGTTTAAACCACTGAAGTAATATGGATTACTTTAATGATGTCTGTACTACTTTTCTGGCGCTTGACAGTGGTAATTGCATAGGCTGTCAATGGAGAGATAGAAAGCTCTCAGATTTGTGTTCCGAAGATGAACGTCAGTCTTTCAGGTTTGGAACGACATGAGGGTGAGTAATTAATGACTGGATTTTCATTTTTGGGTGAACTAACCCCTTTAAGTCTGCTTTTTTTTTTTTTTTTTTTTTTTTTTTTTTTTTCAGATATTTTAGTACAGGCATCCTCTTTCTTCCTGAATGGATACGTTTTTTTTGTTTGTTTTTTTAACAGTATTCTTTTGTGCTCTGTGCAATGTTTAGAACATGCGTTGTTCATGCAGCAGTGGGCAATCATGATTTAAAATCTAATTGGGGTACAAAACAGGTCTGCCAATATTGATCGCAATGGCCAGTGATGGACAACATAAGACCTTAAGGAGTGTAAATTAGTTTTTGTTTTGTGAACCCGTTTCCCACTTGTATGCCCAAACTGGCTCAGCACGTGGAATAACGTGTGATTGGTCAAGTTGACCTTTTAAGTTTCTTTAAATTTGGGTATTAATATAGTAGTGTTTTGGACAATCTCAGGGCTTTCTTCAAATAAATAGCATGAAAATGACAGTATCGATCCGCTTTGACATTGCCTCATTCAATTAGAAATCTTTGAAACTGTTACCCAATTTGTAATGGAGAGGAAAGTCATTCAGTCACTACATGCTTTTCATACTTTAATAATAACTGAAAATGCATATGTACCATACCAGTGTGCACATACGTTTGTGAATTCATTTTTTTTTTTTTTTTTTTTTTTTGTGTATGTAGTCTCTACAATGAAATTGCACTCCTGTAAATGGTCAATATTTTAGCCATATTTACAGATTGCTAAATGTTGAGTTTGTTTTGCCTAGCATTCCAGCATTTCCCTCTTATGGGTCAAACTCGAATGCACTGATCTTCGCTGTCAGTTGATGCACTTCGTTAGACCAGAAGGTTCTCTACCTCATCTGGTCTTTCTCATTATACCACAGCATTAAGTCTGCTTATGCCATTACAGTATGGTTGACCAGTGAGTTCAGTGGACTTGACTGAAATTTTTTGTTGGGCACTTGGTCCTTTGACAACAAAATGCAAAGTTATGTCAAGGTCTTGAGGTTTGTTTTGAGTTCAACGTGTGTGTAGGTGGCAGTCCAAAATTAAGCTGGCCGCCACAAAGCTTGGTTAGTTACTAATATTTTGGTTAAATGGTGATTTTAAGCACAATGATAAACAGTTTACATTGCCATTGAAGTGAGTTTGCAGCTTGCTGTTTAATTTTTTTTTTTACATTTTTTTTTTTTTATGGATTTAATTTAGGTTGTAAATACCTTTTGTACAGTGTATATTTCTTGTTTTTTTTGTGGCTCTTATAAGGGCCATTTTTACAGAATAAAAAACTTAAATACAACATCTGGTCTCAAGTTTTCTCATTTTGAAAAATATTTGAATCTAAATGTTTATTTGATTCCCAAGTCACATGCAAATGGAATTTGATGCATATTATGGCAGTCATATGGGACCTTTAGCATCACTGGGACAAAAGTTCTGTTACCAATCCCTTTCGTAGTAAATACTGTTTGCAGTCAGCATAATCAATTTGATGTGAGTTATAGTGTCTGATAACTACCAAGATAAATAAGTATTTGTTGTCAACATGGTGGCCTCTAGGCAAGGACACACCGACTATTTTCACATCTTAAACTGTGGGAGACCACAGACACAAGGGCAGTTTCAACCGATCGATTTGTCGATTTCAACCGCACACACTATTCGTCCGGACCGTGAGACCACACACCTGTCAATTGTAGACTAGCGAGGTCAAAATTGACTTGAGAATAAAAACAAATGGAGGATGATCAACGTTGTCAGCTGGTTCTCCCTATGTGAGTTTTGTTTTAAGGGGGAAAAAGGGGGAGAAAAAAAGAATATGGGTATGAATCTTTACAGTCTATGGTAAGAATATTATTTCTTAATACTCCACTTTTTGTTTGTGCCTGCCAATTTTTAGGTATAGAAGCACGCAACATCCGGTTGGTGAAGCTTGCTCGCTCTCATTGGCTATCGCGGGTACCACGTCAGAGGCAGCCCGATCAAGAGTTTGATATTTAAGATTTGGGATCGCGTTGGCTCCGAAGAGGTCGGTTGCCGTAAAATAATCGTTATAACAAAACAGGATTTTTGGGGACAAAAAGTCGGTAGCGAGAAGCCTCTAATCGGGCAACACTCCCCAGATCATTAAGGGTTTCAAACCAAGCTTAAATTCTTTAAGTGAATGACCAGCCTTAAGGCCCTTGCCAAGGGCATAGATTTGGTTTGAACATTGGGGGGGGGTTGAAGTTTGGGTATGCCTCCTGATATTGTGATCATGGTATAAATAATGGGGGGGTCGTAATGCATAGATTTAAATATTGGGGGGGTTATATCCCCCCCACCCCCCCCCACAAATTACGCCCCCTTGCACACTGAGTCAAAAATGTTCGTATGCGTTTTTTCGTATTCGTGATTCGGTGGCTCTGTCAAAACACCACTCAAAATGCTTGCTACGGATGCGAAAACGCAGAAAATCGAACCCGATCCGATTTTTTCCCTGACAGACTGATTTTCGGAGGCAGTGTGCAAGCGTGATTGACATAACGTGACGTCGTATTTATTTTTTAACGTGCGAAAATTTCAGACGCTAATTTCGGACTAGGGACCTTAAGGGTCACACAACAGCATTTTCAACTAAAAACGCAAAATATTTTATGTTTTTGGCTGTTCATTTACACGACAACAGCGTTTTGGGGGCCTGAAAACGCAAACTTTCGAAAAAGGGTTTCAATGTGCAAGTTTTTTAAAACAATACTGTTGGTTATTGTCGGTGTAAACCACAAAAATGTGAATTTGTGAAAACAGTGACGTCATGCGTATTACGTGTTCAGGCGCGTAGTTTTTCTTTACAAAGTAACATCGCCAATAAATGGCCTCGCCGCCTGACATGAATAATACAGCGTTTTTAATTGTTTCCACAGATCGTGTGAAAGCGCAAAGGAAAAACCTTTCCGTTTTTATTTTTATTACATCGTCGTCATGTAAACATACATACCCATAGAGGTTAACGTTACCTGTTCCATGTAAAAATAAAAACATTTTTTAATTGCCACAATTGTTTATTTGCAATTTACAAACAAATTTAAAGTCCATAATCAGGCATCTCACTCATGTGACTGCAAATGTTTTTTTTTTAAACATTTATCAAACTTTTATTTTGTGTTAAACATTTAAGTCATATAATTTACTTTTAATTAAAGCAGTTATTTAGTTTTTCTTTTGTATTATTTATTTAGTTTTAATAATACGTCTGTGTCGTAAAAAGACGATGAATAAACAGGCCGAATGGAACGATTTAATGGCGAAATCATCTAACTGTTACTCTGCCCCCAAATTCACTGTCCACCTCAACATAACCCTCACTCTCCAGATTGAAAACTGGTTGTTGTCTCGGTCGTAATTGGCCGTTTCGGAGGCACATTGTCCGTCGCTTTTGAGATCGCAGGTGTACGTAGTAAGCCACTGAATCCGGAGAGGCTCCCTTGGACCACTTTGTTCCCTTTTCTCGCTTCCCGCTGTGCGGAAAATTAGCGTTGCCGTCGTTTCTCTCCGTTTTCTTCTCGGGTTTAACCCCCTCACCTCCTAATGTCATTCTCATGAAAATGTAAAAACTCGCCGCGGCTAATCGGAGGGCGAAGGGAGGGGGGCTGCTGGGAAGAGCGCGTACTTTCATTAACCTTGATAACAGTTCAGGCGTGTTCCCAAGTTAGATGCAAGTAAATCATTATCCATTACCAATTTTTTAAGTGTTTAAAGGGAGAAAATCAAGCCCACTTTGGTTTCAAAAGAGCTGCGCTTATCGTCAGACGACTTCTGACTATGCTGGGGGTTAAGAGGGCGAATGTGGGTGTCGAAAAGAGGGTGGGGGACTGGGGGGTGTTGAATTTTCTGGTGAGAAACATACCATCACTTAGCAACGACCACTGAGGCTTAAACAAACTGTTACCATGGTATATTTTGGGTTGCCAGTTTGCAGATTAAGGCCAAAATTCGAATGAATGAAATTGACTAAATAATGATCATGATAATATTTCCTCTTCTTTTTTTTTATTCGTTAAACCGCTTTTTTTTTTTTACATTCTTTTTCATTTCGTTGACAGCATGTTACTATTTCGTCATAAACCCGGAAACGAGATTAATGGTTGCTCTGGAAACTAGGGGGTGCGTATTATTTACATGCATTCCGAGGGAGCCGCTCCCCTCCTGCACGCACACACACTGCACACACAGGCTTCACTGCCTAACAGGTGAAATAAAAACAGAATGTTTAGAACGTAGTAGGCTAATTATGGCTATGAATTGACCAATTTAGCCTACTCTGAAATATAGATATCCCATTGTATTTGCACTTTTCCTGTGTAAACAAGGAAACACAATGTAGGCCTAGACCTTAATTCAGAGCAGCGACAGGTATGAAAGTGAGGCTTTGAGGG